AGGGTTGTACAAGGGTATAAAAGTAATTACAATTGTAAGCTATAGTTGTTGTTTTGCAAACAACAACTTTACATGAAAAATATTACAACAACTTTACATATATATTATTAAATGACTAAAGAGTAATTATGGTGCCAAGGAAATCTATGTAGGAACATTATTGAAAAATCCGAACTATTTCCATGTCGAATTTTTGGTTCCGGAAAGGGTATGCTTGTCGAGCACACGATTACTCCAACCCGTGCTGAAAAATCTTTATACTGATAATGTATTATTAGAGTATTGCTTATCTGTTCCATCTAGTGTTGTTTTTTTTATGTTTATCATTCGAAAATATCTCCTTGTCGGTAGCAATAATTGTATTTTCCTCTGTTTGGGATGTCAATGTTCGATTTTGGGTTGGCGTTTTTCATATTTAGCTCAAAATTGGTAGGCTGGTAGCTGTTAATGGTGATGACTGCATTTGGCAAAGGTTGTTGTATACCTATTAGATGAGCATTTGTTTTAAAATCAAATCAGTTGAGTGACTAAAGTAGTGATGATGATGGGAAAAAAAATTTATTTAGGAATATTATTAATGAATAATCCAAACTTTTCCATGTCGAATTTATGTTCCGGAAAGGGTATGCCTGTCGAGTACCCGACTACTCCAATCCTTGCTGGAAAAATCTTTATGTAAATTAGCTGTTGTTAGGGTGTTGTTTTTTCTGCAGTTGTTGATTGAATAGTGGTAAATGTATTAGATGGGTGCTGTCAATTCGGAGCTAGAAGAGCTTTTTCAGGACAAAAAGCGTGTGAGGAATCCCCTCGTCCCAATTGGTAAATTTCTAATCACGTTTATATGTTTTACTTTTTTTATTCGGGTATATAATTACAAATCCGTTATCTTTCCCTGAACTTTCTGTTTCTTGTGCTAGTAAAAAGACATGCAAGAGTAGCACAACATTAGATATATTTTCACTTTTAATACTATCTGTATATAGTTAAATACTATGAAAGCACCAAGTTGCGAAACTCATACTGAAAGGTTGCTGTTATGTACCTACAATTCTGGTTGCTGTTATTCCGGTAGCTGTTATGTACCTACAATTAATTAAGAATATTCATCCAAAACTCATACCGAAAGGTTGCTTCATAAGACCCCATATAAATACACATTTGTTCTTCAATTTACATAAATCGGATAGTGATGTTGATATTGAAAAGACGACATATGTGTGTGTGTGTGTGTGTGTTTGAATACAGTCAAGGACCGTTTGTGCGTTTTCAGGTGCTTTTATGACAGCAGGGGTGCTAACAGCCGGTCTTATTAGCTTCCGGCAAGGAAATTCTCAATTGGGTCAGAAATTAATGAGAGCTCGTGTGGTTGTGCAAGGCGCTACAGTTGCACTAATGGTCGGTACAGCTTATTACTATGGTGAAAAATTTTGAGTACTCGATTCCTTGTGACGAACAATGCTTTCCAGATTTTTTTTTTTCTTAAAAATTGTCTATGTTTCTTGTATTCCGATTATGTGAAGAGCGCACGATTCGTATTTGGCCAAATGCTTGATTTGTGCTGTAGTTGTTAGAAATATCAAGGTTCAATGATTAAGAATATGTGTAGCCATTGGTTATGTAATTGATGAATCCAAACATGCCAAGTTAATTAGACAAATTCTACTTGTTTTTTCAGTAGCTTTGAATTAGTAAGAGCCAAAGCTTTCAAATGCCTTGCAAAATCAATTTTGTTTAATATCAGACTACTTACACCACTACATTGCACAGCTGCTGCAAAAAATCAAGTGATCAATTGAAAAATTACCCACATTGGATCAAAGGTTAACAAAATAAAGTATGATTTGTCGATTTCGGATGAGTGACTTATCGATAATTTGGTGATCGGTCGATAAGGCTGTACTTGTGAACAAGTTTATTTTAGAAACACAAATTATCGTGTGAATTGGTCTGACGATTAGGCGAATCGACATAATATACTTTCTGAACTAAAATGCAGGTCTATACTGAAAAATATCATACTTTTATTTTAATTATTCTCTGAATGACATCACTTATTTATAATTGTATGCATAGTTACTCAGAAAAAGGTGTAACTATCTGGCAAATATATCTGCCTAACACCAATCTAAGCCTGTAAACGAGCCGAGTCGAGCTCGAGCTTAAGGTGCTCAGGCTCAAGCTCGAGCACTTAACTAGCCAAGCCGAATTTGGCTCATTAATAAATGAGGTAAAAATCGAGCTCGAGTTCGGCTCGTTTTTCACTATTAATAAGCCGAGTTCCAGCCTTAACGAGTCGATCTCGAGCTCTAATGAGCCGAACTATAAAAAATTGTATAAAAATTTATTTTTCGAGTCTTATCTAGCCGAGTCGAGATCGTTAACCAAACGAGCTGTAAATGTGCTTGAGCTCGGCTCGTTAAGGCCTCGAGCTCGAGCTGAACTCGAGCCTTGACGAGTCGAGTCGAGCTTGTTAACCAAATGAGATTTACATGTGCTCGAGCTCGGCTCGTTAAGGCCTCAAACTCGAGCCGAACTTGGGTTTTAACAAGCTGAGATGTAGCTGAGTCGAACCAGACTCGTTTAATTTAACAGCAGCACTACTGCAAAATATCGATATAATTAAAACAAATTCCTTTAACCCCATTTGTCATATCCTTCAAAATCTATTTTTATTCAATTTTTTGGCTGCTCCAAGAAAGATACCTCCCAAATTCCAGAAGAGATTATCATGAAAAAAATAAGGAGAAAAAAAAAAAAAAA